ATGCACATTTTAAAAGGCTTCACTCTCAGGATAAACCTAAGGCAACAAGTTGACTCTGCCCCAGGGGAGTGAACTTTGACCAGTAACTTTGTTAATTTGTGATAAGTCTATTCTCTAACACCCTCCTAATGAGATAATGCTGGAGAAGCAGTTCCATTCTGCTTCTACGCTGATGTTTTAAAAAGCTAGGCTCTACTGATTAAGAATTAAACTGTAATAATAATCACTGAAGTATTCAATACACTGTAACTGACCTGCCTAATTATGCCACTGCAGAAAATACGTAGTTACTATGGAGGGACAAAAGCAAATGTCAAGACTGAGGGAGAGCAGAAAAAGGTACTTTTCAGCTGTAGTAGTTTCAGGCCTACTACCTGGGTCTTCCAGAACAAGGGATCTATCGCTTTTCGGCAATAACTCAGAAAACAATATTTTAATAGTAGGAAATTAGAGCTTCATCAGATTATCCAGAGGTGCTCCGGAAGCAATTTCTCCAAACGATGAATTAATAACCGTTTCATCTGAGAAATGGGAAATAAATGGTGACTACTGTGTTGGCATCAGTAGCTAAAGCTATCGATCGATGACTGAACTATGGTAAACTCTTCTTTATTTGATTTACCTAACATTTAGACATTATTCTTTCTTACCTCCTCCAACCAGTTATTGGATGGGTCAGCTTTTCAGGACAGCATGCAGTTGAAATGGTGGCAAATGGCCAGGCGAGTAATACAATTAATGCGACCAACAAGGCACGGATTGGAAGCAGGATAATTCCAAGAAAGAAAATCTGAAAGCACAAAGTTAAAAAAAAAAAAAGTAGATGAAGGGACAGTATTTTAATGTTCTGGCTATCAACCAGAAACGCAGAAGAGCAAAGTTTTGTGTCATTCATGTGTTCATTGAAGGATGAATTGAATATTACCCCGCACCAGACATGAATCTCAGCTCAAAGAAAAATAATGTACATATTATATCCTGCTGTACACCACCTACAATATAGCAAAAGCAACAGTGAAGAAAACCAGGTACTATAAGAACACCTGATCTGTTTATTAAGGAAAGTGACTAGAGGATGTTGGGGAAACGCTGTATCTCACTACGCAGTCAGGGAAAGCTTCCTGGAGGAGTTGACGGCTGAATGGTCTTTAAAGACAAGCAGAAGCTAGCAAGGTAAGAGGGGAAATTGGTTTTTGAGAGCTATCAATAGAAGGAAGAGTGTTAATGAAGGTATTAGAGTGTGAACGAGTAAGTGCAGTATTTTATAGACCTGCCAGTCCTTTATAACTAACAACAATAAGAAGATGGAGAAGGAAAAAATAAAATAAAAAACAAGTAAGAATAAGAATGAAAATTAGTAAAAATGGCCAATAATACATGAATGCTTATTATATAGTGGGTGGAAGAAGCACTTGGCATATAGGGACCCATTTGATTCCTATAACCTTAGGCTGTTTTACATATGGGAAAAGAATGGCACAGAGGAACTTAGGTGACACTGCTTAAGATCATACTTACTAAGAAGCAACACCAGGGTTTGAACCCAGCTTGGTTACAAAGCCTTTGCTCTTAATCCTATACCATATTGACTTTTTTTTTCTAAAAGATTTAAAAAATTTATTTGTCAGAGAGAGGGAGAGAGAGAGAGCACACACAAGCAGGGGGAGCAGCAGAGGCAGAAGGAAAAGCAGGCTCCCTGCTGAGCAAGGGCCCAATGCGGGACTCAATCCCCGGACCCTGGGATCATGACCTGAGCCAAAGACAGATGCTTAATTGACTGAGCCACCCAGGCGTCCCACCATATTGACTTTTTTCATGCATGCTAAATCATCTTTCTATTAGCCAACCACACTATTCAAACAGCGCTGTCCTTCTGCTTTTCCTGGCCCTTAATGTGAATCTGGGCATCATCAGATAATTTATGAACACCAAAATGATCCTACTTTTCTGTCAGATGATTTAACATCTAATTTGATCTCTGTCAAATTATGTGTGTGCATGTGTGCGTGTTTGAAGTCAAAATTACATACAAGGAAATGCACAGCTCTTCAGTAGATAGCTTAGTGAGTTTTGATAAATGTGTACTCTAGTACCTACCACCACCGCAATCAAGACACAGACGATGTCTGCCCTCCAGTCATCTTGGGCTTCTTCCTACCCTCTTAAGTAACCGATGTGAGATTTCTATCACCAGAGATTAGTCAGCATCTGTCATTTCCTGACTTGTTAATTTTAGCCATTCTGACTGGTGTGAGGTGGTATCTCATTGTGGTTTTGATTTGTATTTCCCTGAAGGAATCTAACTCTTGATTTTGGCTCAGATCACGATCTCAGGTTCCTGAGACGGAGCCCTATGTTAGGCTCTCCACTCAGTGGGGAGTCTGTTTGAGATTCTCTCTCTCCCTTTGCCTCTCCCCACTCCTGTGCTCTATCATCTCTCCCTTTAAAAAAAAAAAAAAAAAGAAAGAAACTAAAATATGATTTATCTATAAAAAATTACTTGAAGGACTTACTTCAGACAAGAAATTTAGAAATTTAAACAAGGAATTTAGTTAAAAGAAGGAATTTAGGTAGATGTACCAATTCTATATATAATTCTAAATTGTGAATGTAAGTATCAGTTCTCAAATTTTCCATCTGAGAGGAAAAAGATCTTTTACTATCAACCACAAGCAAGCAAAATCAATCCACATTATTTACCATGAAGTAAATTATTCTTGAATTATCTAAATTGAGATTTGGAATTTAGCGATTCAAACAGATAAATCTGTTTGGAAAATTCTGACTGCTGTAAGAAAGAAAGAAAGACAAAGATAGGAAGGAAGGAAGGAAGGAAGGAAGGGTGGGTGGGAGCGATGGGGGGCAGGGATGGAGGAAGAAAGAAAGGAGTCAGGCATAAGACCTCATTAAACCTGTGTTGTCTACACTACACACAAACCAAACACCTCTTGGACCCACACAAAAAAGCTTTTCCATAGCTTCCCCTTCTCTAAGTGTACTCCCTAAGTTTACTATCCCTCTCCCTTAGGCTATTTGCCTTAGTATAGACTCTCTTCCTTAGAATCTCAGTCTAGACTTGCCCTTAGAGCGAAGGCAACTGAAGAAACGGACTTGACAGAAACAGCACAGTGTTAAATACGCCATGAAGACCACTGGAAGATAGAAGTGGAAATGAGAGTCACCCCGGGCAGGTGCAATGTGGCATCTGGACAAAAGAAAATCGTGCCTTTTGAGGATTTTGTCTTTATCGGTCCTAAGAAATCTTCACCTCTGGGAAAATGTTTTCCTTCTCTTTTTTGATTTCCCTCTTCTATTTTCTTTTTCCCTTTATCACACACATCCCAGGTTAGAAGCCTGGATTAACCCAGCCACTCCATTTTCTAGCCTGATTCCCCTTCCAGGAAGGCTTTCCTGTATTTGTGCTGCCACACAAGTTACACGAGGCACACTGACCACGCAGGTCACTGTCGCTATAAGGAGCTTAAACTGTAAAGGCCACGAAAATAACACACCTCAGGACACATACCTCAGGACACCCAGATTTTAGGCGCTCCCTTTTCTATAATGCTCTCGTACGATTTGCTCCTCCTCACTGGCCCTTATCTAAAAAGCTGAAAACCAGGAACTCAAGACCAACAGCGACACGAAACCTGTATTCTGGCCAAAGGAATAAACCGATTTCCAGAGAAGTTAAAGATCACATAACACCTAGATGTCCTTCACAATCGATGGTCTTTATTTCGAGTGTCACTTACTTTGACTATGAAGGACCCAACCGTAATAGGAACATATGTGCCTCACGTGTTAATAACCACTAATGCATGTAACTGGCCTGTCAGTTACCTACTCTGATTTAAACTTATTATTTCAGTGCAATTCACACATGGAGAAAATTGGTATGCAGTTAAAAAAAAAAAAATCAGACTTTCATATGTTGTTGGGATGATCTAAGGAAGTCACAAGGTACTTGAAGGCAAATGAGGATTCCCTTTAAATATGTCCAAGTGGTTGTCTGTGCATCAACAATGTTATATAAACTCTGTGTTCAGTATCAAAAGGCATTGCTGGGGAAGGCCCAAGGCAAAGCCCTCCAATCCAGGCATTTTATCCAAGGTTCTCACCACAGTGTGGATGGGCTCGGACTTAATCCAGGGGGAACTCGATCAAAGGTCTTGAGGGAAAGTAAGATTCTACATGTTCTGTTCTTTCTAAAGGCCTGTTTCACTTCAGCTGGCTTACTGGTGAGCTGTTTCTCTCCTCTCTTAAATGTTTATAGAAATTGCTGATCCCCATGCTTTTAGAATCCAAGAACGGAACTGAAAGCTTAGCTATTTTCTCAGCTCAGATCAGACACATCACGGCTATTTCAGGCCCTATGACGCAATGGCTCTGGACTGCTTAAACCGATAGAGTAAAACAACAATGGAGACACCAGCTAACATGTCAAGCCAGCAACGGAAATAAAACTACAAGATTAAAGCTAAGTAGGATGCAAACCAGGTCACTGGACTGGTTCTTAAGAATTGGTAGATACGCGCGTGAGACCCATAAGACATGGCAGACAGAATTCTGCACATGGGAGGGACTGGGGGTTTAATGGGCAAGAGAGTGATGCTCTCTACAGAGACTTCTCGGTGACAAGATTTTAGAAGCTGATTAGAAATCTTTACTTTTAGGGGCACCTGGGTGGCTCAGTCGGTTGGGAGTCTGACTCTTGGTTTCAGCTCAAGTCCTGTTCTCAGGGTTGTGAGATCGAGCCCTGCGTCAGGCTCCGGCTCTAGCTCAGTGGGTGGAGTCTACTTGTCCCTCTCCCTATCCCTCGGTTCCACACACACTCTCTCTCTCAAATAAATACATAAACAAATAAAAGCTTAAAAAAAGAGAAATCTTTCCTTTTACAAAAAAAACAAGGCTTATTTAAAAAAAAGGAATAAATGATCTTTTTTTTTCTTCACTTGAATAAAATTCAAATAAACCAATAATAAAGAGAAGTGACTTACAATGTATATCCTTGCCACGTCCAAGTCACGGTATCCTACAATAACAGAAATATTTAGACTGTTAGTTCAGTGAAAAAATGCCACATAAAAGCCAAATCTTTAAAAAAAAATCTTATTTTAATATTGGTATTCACATACTTTCCTTCTGAATTAAAAGCAGTATGTTGAAGTGTAAAATGAGACTATTATCAGCAGGGCATTACTCTGTGAATTCTTGGATTATATATCGACATACCAAAATCCGTTTTCCATATGTAACCACCTATCTTTTTGTGGAATTAAGTTGCTCTTAATTTTTAATAAAACTATGTGCATGTTAGCTATCTTTCTCCTAATATGAACATAGCTAGGTAATTAATTTGCTAACAAAACCCAGAATATAACCGTTCTCAACCAAAGGCGGTCGGGGGGGCAGGTATTTGGGAGAACAGATTAAAGTAATACATAGTGAAAGAATTTCAGTAGGTGTCAAATAGGCAGAAGTATAAGTAAATTTTGATGGATTCTAATTTTTTTAACCACGGATATCAAAAGTTTGAGAAGCCACTGAAAGAAAAGCCGACTTGAGCAAGAACTCTTGACCTTAAATAACACAGGTAGTTATTTACAGCCTGCCTTTTTATGTAAAGTCTCTAGTAGGGAAAGTTCCTCTAAAAACCAAAACAGATTCCAGAAAATCTTTCTTTAGGGAAATGGTGGCACCGTCCATATCCAGAGGACAACAGTGTACCTGGCTAGAGCAGAGAGACTGTCTTCTAAGCCAACTATGCACTTTCTGTAGGATGACAGATTCTTTCCCTATCTTCATATTTAAGTTACTTGCTAAGAGTCACATGGCTAGTAAGTATGGAGCCAGAAATGAAACACCAAGCCAACCCCAAATTTATCCTGCTACACCCGTTATCCTTTCAGCAATAACCACTGAATCAGGAAAATTCTCCTTTTGGGCTTAGTGAAAATCACAAACTATATGCAAGTCTTCTGCTACCCGGTCTAAGAAGACCTTGAATCTGAGACTTACTGGTACCATCACCTTGACAACAGAGTAGAAGCTAAGGAAATGCTCTCCTGGAGCTTAGTAACAGCAGAGACAGAATATAATATTGGTGTCCCCAAGTACGTGCCTATCTTGCAAACTTCTAAATCCTTCACATGGCAAGGGGAGTGGGGTCTGCCCATGTTCATCCATGGTATGTCTATTCAGGACTTTATTCAAAGATTAAAAGGGGTGCTAGAGAATTTGTCCTGTTGGGAACGTCTGAGATTTTTGCCACTGTAAAACACTGTGCTCACCAGCTTGTTTGGGTATCTGAGGAGGATCGGCTGCACCGGAACTCCAGGAATGAAGGCTCCTATAACCACAGTGAAATATTATAGCATCTTCCTTATAGGACTATACAGTTTACAGTGAAGAAAATTAATAATAAGCGATATACCTTTCCTTACTGGTTTAAGAGTACACATAAACTATTTGCTAAAGGTTGGTAAATCCCTGGTGTTTACCAAAACGAGAGCGTTCTAAAATTCAGAATTATGAAACCAAAATATTTATGTTATGCCCAAGTTGCTGAAAATATTTATTTACATCTCCACGTGTTCTCATTTTCCAAATACTCATTATTCAAAAAATAATTATTAAATTATTTTTATAATAAAAATATAAAAATTTTTTTATAAAAAATCATTATTCAAAAAAATAATACTCATTATTTTTTAAAAAAGTAATGACAAAGACAAGACCAAGAGAAACTGAGGAGAACAAATAAATAAATAAAATAAAAAAGCAAATACCTGGGAGCAAAGACTATCCCACTTACTAGAAGTGAGTTCTAACTTTGGCTCTGGGCATTCTAGCAGCTAATACAAAAACATGTTAAAGCATTACCAGTTACTAGGAAATTATGTATGAAATTACACATTACTATGAAATTAGTGACTTTATAATATTTTATAAAAAAAGGAGTAAAGCAAAGAATGCATCTGAAGGCTTTATAATGATCACCAAAATAGTTTTCTACTGGATAATGCAGGAACTGGAGTGCCTATAAGAGTATCCTTGGAGGAAAAGAAAAATCTGTCAGTGGTTTCTGTGTGTGTACATGTGTGTGCACGTACACAACTGGATACAATATCAAATATGGTTCACACGTACACACACACACACACACACACACACACACGCACAACAATCCAAGGAAGAAGGGGTTATGAAACCAAAACAGAAAGTAAAGGAGTGAGTTTTGAGGATTTGCAATGTTAAAAACTTTCTACTGGGAAACGCCAGCACAAACAAGCTGTTCTGTGTATTAGTATCAAATCATTTGAGAAATCGTCCATACTTTGTTATAGTACATAATTTAATTGATCTCACCTGGTTTAAAAGTAATCAAACAGGAACGATTAGTACAAGTACCTTCTGGGAAAACTAGTATCTTGGGAGAAAAGGAATACGTAGATTTAATATTTCAGTCTAATTAATAGATTACCTCTTTACTCATTCTTATGAATTCACAAAGAGCTGCTAATTCTTATAAAACAAAAGTGAAATAAAAGGCTAATATTTGATACTATCGAAAGTTAGAATTGGATTATCCAGTTTTCCTCTAAAAGCACTATTTTCTGACCATTGGGATAATTAGTAAATGGATTAAAGCTCTGAATAGAAAATACATTTAATAAATGTTTCTTAATGACGATGCTAATGATTTGGATAAACTTAAAAGAAGATGCAGGCCCTACGTCATGGCCAAAGAGGACATTAAACTCTTTCCTCTCCTGCTATCCATCCTTAACTGAATCATTACTACTTCCTTGTTTCTGTTTTCCCATTCAAGGATCTTCACTCCTACAACATACTGTTCAGGGATATTTGGAGGAGGGAAAAAGGAGAAAATACTTACAACAATGCTTTATGCTTACTTGGGTTAGTAGACATATGGAATACAATTCAGTATCTTTTTTGAGAAAGTATTTTTATCTTTTAACATAGTTTTTTCTGTTCTTCATGTGAAAGTCACACAGTGCAGTTAGTTTCCCCATTAAGTGAACAAGCTGGATTTTCTGAAGATTTTAGAATTTGGCAATGAGTGAATTGCGAAGTACATAAAATAAAAACAGAAAGTTCCTGTACCCACAGTAGTTAGTATGTGTAATTATTTGGTATTTTTTTAAACGATAATTAGAAAGGGAAAACTTTATCAGGCAAAAGTGCTACCATGATGGGTTATTTATAAAATAAAAATGATAAGTGTATGCAATTTCACCCCCCAGTTTAAAAACAAAAACAAGTTTCCTATTGTTTTCCTATTTCCTATTGTAACTGGTTACAATATCAAATATGGTTCCCTCAATGGAAACTCTATAGCTACTCTATTAATGAGTGGATACAGTGTAAATCATAACATCTCCGACCTGGAAGGGGGCATTAAAAGCCATCCAGTATGCCAATGCTTGAATTCTTTCTACAATATCCCCCCCAAGTGGTTGCTTAGTCAGTGCCTGAAAATTCTGGAAAAGGATTTCAGATCAGATCATCGTACATCTGGACAGAAAGTTCCTTGAGATGAGCGAGATGGGCTGAAATCTTACCAATTTGTTAACTTTGGCCTACCAGTCCTAGATAGAGTCCCTGGATCCAAAGAGAAAAACCGAACCCTTATTCCGAGTGCTGTTTCTTCCTGGTCACTTTTTTTTTTTTTTTTAATTTAGTTGACAGAGATCACAAGTAGGCAGAGAGGCAGGCAGAGAGAGAGGAGGAAGCAGGCTCTCTGCTGAGCAGAGAGCCCGATGCGGGACTTGATCCCAGGATCCTGGGATCATAACCTGAGCCGAAGGCAGAGGCTTTAACCCACTGAGCCACCCAGGCGCCCCTTCCTGGTCACTTTTTAAAAATCATTCCTCACATGCCCTGGTTTCTAAACCTCCTGGTGGGTTTAGAAACCCACATATTCCTCTTGGTATTTTAACATCTACTCATCATCATGGGTGGCCAGATCACTGCAGATCATGAGTCCTGCTAGAGTCCCCCGCTTATACCCAGGACAAGGTAGAGTGATACTGACCAGAATTACCCAGGAGGCTTCCTTTATCCAGAAAATATTGCCCGCCCCCCGCCAACTTTAAAAGGCATTCTAGGTGATAGGGTTAGTAAGATAGTCTGAAAGTCTGAAAAAGTTCTATAAGTGATTCTGATGTACCCCCTGAAGTGAAAAGCCCTGCCTAAATAAACTTTGGACAAGATTAAGATGATAATCGCTTTTAAAAAATAAATAAATAAACCTACCATATTATTGAGTAGAATTGAGCTTTGATATTTTGTTTTTAAGATAATAAATAAATTCAGGGGTAGAGAATTACTTTTTATGACATAAAGTAAAAATTGTTTCGAAGAGTTTGGAAGGTAAGAAAGAATGATATATTTAATCCCATGGAGTTTCTCACAGGAAAGAGGACTTTTTAATACTCACTCATTTGTTCTGTTTCTATTATCCTGAAGACACCCAGCACGGGTGTCCCCAGACGCTGCCATCTGTGGGTCCAAATGATTTACACATACGCAGTAAGTAAACTCGCAATATATCTAAACGGACATTTCCTGTGTTTTTACCTGTGGCCACTGCCCTCCTGATGTTGCTCGCCTTACTATTTCATTTATTGTGTTTTTTCGAGAGTCTGGATCCACCCGGGACACCAGCACTGGCTGCAGAGCTCGTAACAGTCCTTTAAGACAAACAAAAGGTCAGAGCCAAGTCTTTTTTTTTTTTTTTTTTTTTTTTTTTTTTGGCTAAAGCTACCATAGCAATGATACTGGATAAATCATAAAACAATTTTCATGTAAAGTTAAAATATAGCAAATCAAAGAGAACTTTAAAAAAATCTGCTTTAATTCACAGCTTATGAGAAGGGTTTTTTTTTGTTTTGTTTTGTTTTGTTTTTATACGTACAGGATTTCATTGATATAACAGAAGTTAGCAGCAAGAATACGAAAGGAAACAAATGCAGTTTTCTCCCTGAAGGTCTTCTTCCTCAACTGACAATCAACCTTTGGAATATATACTACAAGATTATCTTGTTTTATTTTAGGAATAGCCTGACAACTGATTTTGTGAATTCAGAGTACACATGGATAGGGAGCAATTATTAATTTTATTCACATTTTCAGCACGCCAGTCTTCTAAGTGGGGAGCTTTCTCATACATGCATAATAAACCTCAGTTTACTGAAAATCTTTTTTTTTAACGTGTTTATTTATTTATTTATTTGACACAGAGAGAGAGAGAGACAGTGAGAGAGGGGACACAAGCCGGGGGAGTGGGAGAGAGAGAAGTAGGCTTCCCACTGAGCAGGGCATCCAATGCGGGGCTCGATTCCAGGACCCAGGACCCCAGGATCACAACATGAGCTGAAGGCAGATGCTTAAAGACTGAGCCACTCAAGTGCCCCAATTTATTGAAAATCTACTGTTAAATAGTTTTTCATGAAAATGCCATATTATACAAAGCAAGTTGGTTACACTGGAAAAAAAAAAAAGAGACAGAGAGAGGGGGGCGGAGAGAAGAGAGAGAAAGAGTGTGCATGTGTGTTTTTCTTAGCTGAGTGACAAAGTAGCAGGAACTATGCTATTTCTCCAGAGTGCCAAGGTAACATCAGGCAAATTCCACACCCACTCTCTCACCACTGGATGCTTGCAATAACCTTGGGACGACTGGGAGCGGTTGCTTAGAGACCTGCACCCTAGGGAGGGACCAAAGCATCTGGTGGGATACACATCTCACTGACTTCATTATTTTTTATGGCAGGAGGCACTTATCGTTCCACATCATAATTTTCAAAGAGTTTCACGTTGGTCCCTCATGGAGACTCTGGGGCAATAATAAGAAAACAGAGTTAAGAGGAAAAAGACTTCATGTGTCTATCAGCCTAATACCCCAAAGAGAAATTCGTGAAATAGCAAGTAACCAGTGTTTTCACAAATTCTTCAGTTACATTCTCTCTCTCGAAAAATCAAGCATGTTTGGGACTTGAAAGCTGGTCTTTCTAGCTAGATATACAAACACTAAGCAGTGATAGTACGGTGACAAAAATAAGAATTTGAAAGAATTCTAAGGGTACAGACAGGGAGGTCTCTAACCTTGACCATAAATTCCTTCCTTCCATATAGTTCCTCACTAGAAGTAAGGAATAGTTTTGAAGTATTTCATTATCTGAGAGTTTTTAAAAAGCCCACTGATAAATGATAGTTTGGCTTTTTTTTTTTTTTAAGGCAAACCATGAGCATGAAAATATCTATGTTGTCTTACAAGTACTTACTGCCAATCAGAGGAACCTGTGCATTCTCGTTTCGAGAGACCATTGAGGGCAACCCGGCTACGACACAAGCGATCCCATCAAAGAATGTGGAATGGGGGGCAGCGACAAAAATTGGGGCCTCCGTGGGTCTCGCCACCTTTCCCTTCACAGTAACTATGAACCCCATTGAAAAGAACATGGCATGACCCAGAATCTTCAAAACTGGTTGACTGATTTTCCTTTGGAAAGAAATACAAAAAAAAAAAAAAAAAGAAAAGAAAAAAAGAAAGAAAGAAAGGAAGAAAAGAAAAGACACAATTAGTCTTGCTAATCTCAGCTAACAGCAGGGCTTTGCTCTAAAACACAACACAAAAACCCAAACGTGTCAGAATACTTCATTTTAAAATATGAGCTAAGAATAGCTCGCAGTTATATGAAACATTCTTTCCGCCAGGCACTATTCGAAGGACTTTAGATTTCTTTAATCCTCAGCCCAATTTTATGAAATGGGTATTATTTATTAGCACCCTTATTTTGCAGCTGGGAAACTGAGGCAGAGAGAAGCGAAATTTCCCAAGGATGTATGGCTAATAAGTGACTCCACTGACAACACACATCCCCCACTGAGAAACCCACGTGAGTACAGTCCTTCAGAGCAGACACCTTGGGAACGTACATTTGGGTAATAAAGATGCTACTATCTCCCCCAAAGACTTTTGGAACTCTCATGCTGAATCTGTCCTCGGAGTAATTTTTTTTTTTTTAAAAGCCTTATTAACTAGACCATTATAATTCTTAGACATCATCAAATATTTTAAAAGGTAAATTCGCCATCTCAATTCCTTGGAACATAGATGCACTTAATTTCAGATATCGAACTGCTTCCTTTTTAAAAAGAATTTCTGTCTTTAGAAAATAATTCATCGAACTTGCCCAGGTGACCTGCGCTGGACACAGGAGACAAATAAGACCCAGTCTCGGTCCTTGAGAAGCTCAACTGAGCAGGGAGACAAAAACCCACTTCTAGAAATGCAAACACAGAATAGGCATCTGAGGTTGTGAATAAGCATACAGCTTTTCATGGAAAGCAAATCGTGTGTATTTCCCACAAGACATCTAATGGGAGCCTTAAAAAATAGGCTTCCTGTCTACCTCTCAACAGTCTTGCCAAATGCAGTGAGGGGCTAGGAAGGTCACTGAGGAAGTTTCTCCATAAGGAGAAAGTAAGACACAGAGAACCAAAGCACTTTTCCAGAGGGCATGGGGAAATGACTGTCTCTCTCCTTCTCGGTCTTTCCAGTTCAGATGTCCATTTACCTAAGAATAAAAAGCTCGCCCCATTAACCGAATCTCCACACCTCCTAGTTTTGATTTACAGCGATGTAAATTCTGACAATTGCATTTTAAAATATCCCATGTTCAAAGCTGTTGGACACTTCCATTCAAATGATTTCAAAAAGGCTAAAAGTTGGGTGCTGCATAATTAACGTCAATGTTACCCGTTTGAGGATAAGTAGAGATACTTGCTTAATTGGCAAAAATAGAACTTTCTGCCCCCCCTAACATTTATTAAATCTGTTTTCTGGATTCTTGGACTATTCCCTCCGTCATTATAGGGCTCCATAAGCCATCAATGATAGAAACCAAAGGGGTAATTGAGAGGGATGAGCACATCATGGAAAAAACAAAAAAACAAAAAACAAAACCCAAAAAACGAACCTCTCATAAAGTAATTTTTAGTGACATACAACCTTGAGCTCTAAAACAAAGCAGTGAAATTTGCAAGGATTGAGGTGGTATTAGTTCTCTGGGGACACTGCCAGCCTTGGATTCACTTCTGCTTCAAACCAGCCTTGGGCTGAATGTTGACATTTACTAGAACATGAACTGGATGGTGAATTGCATATTTTTAAAAGTTTCTAGAACAGTGGTTTTCAAAAATTTTTGGAGGACATTCTCCTTTGAGATTTGGATGGAAGGAATGGACCCTGCGTGCAAAGAAAAAAATGTGCACAATTTTAGAAAGTTCGACCGTGCCCTAAAACTCAGCGATGGCTTCCCATTCCAAGGAAATGCACATTTTAAAAGGCTTCACTCTCAGGATAAACCTAAGGCAACAAGTTGACTCTGCCCCAGGGGAGTGAACTTTGACCAGTAACTTTGTTAATTTGTGATAAGTCTATTCTCTAACACCCTCCTAATGAGATAATGCTGGAGAAGCAGTTCCATTCTGCTTCTACGCTGATGTTTTAAAAAGCTAGGCTCTACTGATTAAGAATTAAACTGTAATAATAATCACTGAAGTATTCAATACACTGTAACTGACCTGCCTAATTATGCCACTGCAGAAAATACGTAGTTACTATGGAGGGACAAAAGCAAATGTCAAGACTGAGGGAGAGCAGAAAAAGGTACTTTTCAGCTGTAGTAGTTTCAGGCCTACTACCTGGGTCTTCCAGAACAAGGGATCTATCGCTTTTCGGCAATAACTCAGAAAACAATATTTTAATAGTAGGAAATTAGAGCTTCATCAGATTATCCAGAGGTGCTCCGGAAGCAATTTCTCCAAACGATGAATTAATAACCGTTTCATCTGAGAAATGGGAAATAAATGGTGACTACTGTGTTGGCATCAGTAGCTAAAGCTATCGATCGATGACTGAACTATGGTAAACTCTTCTTTATTTGATTTACCTAACATTTAGACATTATTCTTTCTTACCTCCTCCAACCAGTTATTGGATGGGTCAGCTTTTCAGGACAGCATGCAGTTGAAATGGTGGCAAATGGCCAGGCGAGTAATACAATTAATGCGACCAACAAGGCACGGATTGGAAGCAGGATAATTCCAAGAAAGAAAATCTGAAAGCACAAAGTTAAAAAAAAAAAAAGTAGATGAAGGGACAGTATTTTAATGTTCTGGCTATCAACCAGAAACGCAGAAGAGCAAAGTTTTGTGTCATTCATGTGTTCATTGAAGGATGAATTGAATATTACCCCGCACCAGACATGAATCTCAGCTCAAAGAAAAATAATGTACATATTATATCCTGCTGTACACCACCTACAATATAGCAAAAGCAACAGTGAAGAAAACCAGGTACTATAAGAACACCTGATCTGTTTATTAAGGAAAGTGACTAGAGGATGTTGGGGAAACGCTGTATCTCACTACGCAGTCAGGGAAAGCTTCCTGGAGGAGTTGACGGCTGAATGGTCTTTAAAGACAAGCAGAAGCTAGCAAGGTAAGAGGGGAAATTGGTTTTTGAGAGCTATCAATAGAAGGAAGAGTGTTAATGAAGGTATTAGAGTGTGAACGAGTAAGTGCAGTATTTTATAGACCTGCCAGTCCTTTATAACTAACAACAATAAGAAGATGGAGAAGGAAAAAATAAAATAAAAAACAAGTAAGAATAAGAATGAAAATTAGTAAAAATGGCCAATAATACATGAATGCTTATTATATAGTGGGTGGAAGAAGCACTTGGCATATAGGGACCCATTTGATTCCTATAACCTTAGGCTGTTTTACATATGGGAAAAGAATGGCACAGAGGAACTTAGGTGACACTGCTTAAGATCATACTTACTAAGAAGCAACACCAGGGTTTGAACCCAGCTTGGTTACAAAGCCTTTGCTCTTAATCCTATACCATATTGACTTTTTTTTTCTAAAAGATTTAAAAAATTTATTTGTCAGAGAGAGGGAGAGAGAGAGAGCACACACAAGCAGGGGGAGCAGCAGAGGCAGAAGGAAAAGCAGGCTCCCTGCTGAGCAAGGGCCCAATGCGGGACTCAATCCCCGGACCCTGGGATCATGACCTGAGCCAAAGACAGATGCTTAATTGACTGAGCCACCCAGGCGTCCCACCATATTGACTTTTTTCATGCATGCTAAATCATCTTTCTATTAGCCAACCACACTATTCAAACAGCGCTGTCCTTCTGCTTTTCCTGGCCCTTAATGTGAATCTGGGCATCATCAGATAATTTATGAACACCAAAATGATCCTACTTTTCTGTCAGATGATTTAACATCTAATTTGATCTCTGTCAAATTATGTGTGTGCATGTGTGCGTGTTTGAAGTCAAAATTACATACAAGGAAATGCACAGCTCTTCAGTAGATAGCTTAGTGAGTTTTGATAAATGTGTACTCTAGTACCTACCACCACCGCAATCAAGACACAGACGATGTCTGCCCTCCAGTCATCTTGGGCTTCTTCCTACCCTCTTAAGTAACCGATGTGAGATTTCTATCACCAGAGATTAGTTTTGTCTGTTCTTGAACATCATACAAATGAATCATACATTATCCATTTGTCTGTTCTTGAACATCATACAAATGAATCATACATTATCCATTCTTACGTGTCTAAGCTTCTCTCGCTTAACATAATGTTTCTGCAATTCAACTATGTGATTTTATAAATGAATAATTCATTATTTTTGATTGCAGAATTTTTGATTGTGTATGGGACAATTTATTTAGTCTTCTGTTGATCAATCTTTGGCTTATTTCCAGTCGTGGGCTCTTATGACTGAAGCCCCTATGAACATTCTTGTACAAACCTTTTCGCGGATATGTGTTTTCCTTTCTCATCCTGGGAGGGGAATTGCTGGGTTACAGACAGTTCAACTTGATAAGAAACTGCCAAAGTGCTCTCCACAGTGGTTGTAATAGTTCCAAGTGTTACTGGCAACATATGAGAATTTTGGTCGGTTGCCAACATTTGGTCTTAGTATTCTTTTTTAAAAAATCAACTTTATCAAGGCACAATTTATCTCAAATTAAAATGCATCTACTCTAAGCGTGCAGATTATGAGGGGTTTTTTTTTAAAGATTTTATTTATTTATTTATTTGACACAGAGAAAGAGAGATCACAAGTAGGCAGAGAAGCAGGCAGAGGAGGAAGCAGGCTCCCCGCTGAGCAGAGAACCCGATGCGATGCGGGGCTCAATCCCAGGACCCTAGGATCATGACCTGCGCCGAAGGCAGAGGCTTAACCCAGTGAGCCACCCAGGCGCCCCGCCTTTTCATTTTCTTAATGGTATCTTTTGATGAGAAGAATTTTAATTCTGATGTAGACTAATTTATCAATTTTAATTTTCTGTGTCATTTCTAAGAAATCTTTACTTACCTCCAGGTCATGATGATATTTTATATTCTCTTCTTCTAGAAGCTGTATGGTGTTAGCTTTTTTCAGTCTATGATCCATGTTAAATTACTTTCTGTGTGTGGTATGCGCTAGGGATCGAGATTAGTTTTCATCCATAGCCTCTATCTGGTTGTCCCAACACCATTTGTTGAAAAGACTTGATACTCGATAACGAATTTTCTTGACAACTTTATCAAAAATCAATCAAACACATATGTGTGGGCTCTCCATTATGTTTCGTTGCTTGGTTCATCTACTCTTCTGTCTATACCCCATTCTCTCAACTCTGCCGTTTTTTGTTGTTTTTTTTTTAAATAAGTCTTGAAATCAGGTACTGTGTTCTGCAGCGTTTTCTTCTTCAAACTTTTTTGGGGCTACTCTAGTTCCTTTGCATTTTCACATATATTTCAGAATTAATTTGTCAGTTTCTACCCAAACAAAAAAGTCTATTGGGATTTTTGTTAGGGTTTCAGTGAACCTATAGGTCAATTTGGGAGGAATTATCACCATGATAATATTGACTCTTCCAATTTACAAACATAACACATCTCTCCAGTTATATAAAGTTTCATTAATTCCTCACAACAGTGTTTTGTTGTTTTCAATGGTTTTGGTTAAATATATTCCCAGTTGTTTAATGTTATTTTATTGCTATTATAAACAAGATAATTTAATTTTACATGGCAATTGTTTGCTACTAGTATATAGACATGTAACTGATTTTAAGTTTTAATCTTATGTCCTACAACCTAGCCAAGTTCAGTCACTACTTCTAGCTGTTAGCCACTTTGTAGGTTCTTTAGAATGTTCTACATATACAAACATGATATCTGTGAAATAAATATAATTTTTCCTTTCTTTTTGTATTTTTAATTTTTTAAAATTTTATTTTAAATTCTAGTTAGGGGAACATTACAGTGTCCTCCTAGTTTCAGATGTGCAATACAGTGATTCAACAATTCCATACATTACCCAGTGCTCATCAGGAAGAGTGCCTTCCTTACTCCCCATCACCTATCTTACCAATCCCCCCATCCACTTCCCCTTTGGTAACAACTATCAGTTTGTTCTCTATGGTTCTGAGTCTGTTTCTCAGTTTGTCTCTCTCTTTTCCCCTTTGCTTATTTTGTTATTTGTCTGTTTCTTAAATTCCACATATGAGAGAAATCATAAGGTATTTGATTTTCTCTGACTGAGAAAATTCACTTTCTTTTCTCATCTCTCCATCTTGTAATTCTTCTCTTATTTCATTGCACTGGCTAGGACCCCCAGTTTAATGTTGAACAGAAGTGTAACCCTTTCTTATATTTTTTCAGATGCTGTTATCAAGGTAATGCTAGCCACATATTTTTTACACACTGTCTTCATTTTCATTCATCTCAAAGTATTTACAAATATTTCTTATGATTTCTTCTTTAAATCACTGATTATTTAGCAGTAATTTAATTTCCAATTATTTGTGAATTTCCTAAATTTCTTTTTTTTTTTTAAAGATTTTATTTATTTATTTGATAGAGATCACAGGTAGGCAGAGAGGCAGGCAGAGAGAGAGGAGGAAGCAGGCCCCCTGCCAAGCAGAGAGCCCCATGTGGGGCCTGATCCCAGGACCCCGGGCTCATGACCTGAGCCGAAGGCAGAGGCTTTAACCCACTGAGCCACCCAGGTGTCCCAATTTCTTATTTTTTCCTAATTGCAATCCATTGTGGTTGGATGACATATATTATATTATTGTAATCCTCCTACATTTATTGAAACCTGTTTTATAGCCTACTATAATTGTCTTAGAGAATATTCCTTGGGCACTTGAGAAAATGTGTTTTCTGCTATTGCTGGATGGGCTGCTCTCTTTATATATTTCTTAGTTGAGTGTTGTTCAAGACTTTTTCTTGTTTATATTTTGTTTCATTGTTCTACCACTACTCACAGTGGGGAACTGAAGTCTCTAACTACTATTGTTGAATTGTGTATTTTCTGCTTCAATTTATTTTGCTTTGTGTATTTGGTGCTCTGTTGTTAGGTGCATATATGGTTCTAATTGTTTTCTTGATGATGTAACCCTTTTATCATTGTAACGTGTCTTCCTTTATCTCTAGTAACAATGTCTGTCTTAAGGTCTTTTTTATTTAATATTAATATGGCCCCTCCAGTTCTCTCTTGGTTATTGTTTGCATGGTGTATCTTTTCTATTCTTTTACTTTCAACCTATTTGGGTCTTTGAATCTGAAGTGTGTCTTTTTATATAGTATAGAGTTGGATTGTATATTTTTATCAATTCTTCCATCTCTCACTTCCATTTATATTTAATGTAATTACTGGTAAGATTTACATCTGCTCTTTTGCTACTTGCTTTCTACATATCTATGTCTTTTTCATTTCTCTATTTCTCCATTATTACCTTCTTTTATGTTAAGTAATATTTTCTAGTGTACTATCTTAATTCCCTTGTCACTTCTTTTAAAATTAATTTTCTTAGTGGTTGCCCTAAGTGTTCCCAACTTCATTTACAGTAACCTAGCTTGGATTAATACCAACTTAATTATAATAGGATATAAAAATTGTGCTCTAATAGCTCAACTCTATTTCCTCCTTCCTCCTGTTTGCTAATTTTGTCATATAAATTACATCTTATACATTGTATATCTATCAACACAGATTTCTAAACATTGCTTTGTGTAATTGTCTTTTTAAAAAAGATTTATTTATTTTAGAGAGAGAGCATATGTGTGCACATGAGTCAGGGGAGGGGCAGAGGGAGAGGAGAGAAGCAGATTCCCCACTGAGTGTGGAGCCTAATACAGAACTTGATCCCAGAATCCTGAGATCATGGCCTGAGCTGAAATCAAGAGTTGGATCCTTAACTGACTGAGCCACCTAGGTGCCCCTATGTAGTTGTCCTTTAAATCATGGAAGACAGGGGTGCCTGAGTGGTTCAGTGGGTTAAAGCCTCTGCCTTCAGCTTGGGTCATGATCCCAGGGTCCTGGGATCAAGCCCCGCATTGGGCTCTCTGCTCAGCGGGGAGCCTGCTTCCCCCTCTCTCTCTGCCTACTTGTGATCTCTGTCTGTCAAATAAATAAATTAATTAGTTTTTAAAAAGATCACAAAGAAGACAAAAGATTTACAAATAAAAATTATATTTATGGTGTCTTTTATATTTATACATGTAGTTATCTTTACCAGTATTTTAATTTCTTCATGTGGACTGGAGTTACTCTCTAGTGTCATTTCAACCAAAGGTCTCCCTGCAGTATCTCTTTCAGAGCGTGTGTACCAGTGACAAATTCTGTTTTTGTTAATTTCTCCTCTATTTTTGAAAGATAGTTTTTCTGACTATATAAATCCTGGTTGACAATATTCTACTTTCAGCACTTTGAGTATATCATCCTATTGCCTTCTAGCCTCCATGGTTCCTGATGAACAATCAGACATCACTCTTATTCAGGATCTCTTTCTGTATGATGAATTACTTCTCTCTTTCTGCTTTCAAGAGTCTCTTTCTTTCTTTGCCTTTTAACAGTTTGATTATGATATGTATAGATACGGATATCTTTGAGTTTATTATACTTAGAAGTCATTGAACTTTTTGAATGTGTTACTATTTTTCACTAAATTTGGCAAGTTTTCAGCCATTTTTTCTTCAAAAATTCTTTGCCTCCTTCTGTGGCTCCCATTCTGCTTATGTTGATACACTTGATAATACCTTACAGGTCTCTGAGGTTCTGTTCACTTTTCTTCAATTTTTTTTCTTTCTGTTCCTCAGATCAATTAATTTCAATTGAACTATCTTTAAATTTGCTGATTCTTCTGTTTGCTCAAGTCTGCTGTTGAGTCCCTCTAGTGAATTTTTCATTTCAGTTATTGTACTTCTTTTCGGTTCTTTTTAAAATAATTTAAATAATTTCTATCTCTACTGACCATCTCTATTTGGTGATTCACTGTCTCATATTTTGCTTTGGTTCTTTTCACATTTTTTTTCTTTTAGTTATTTGAACATATTTAAAATATCTGACTTAAAGTTTTTGGATAGTAGGTCCAACATCTGGGATCCCTTGGAGATAGTTTTTACTGACTGCTATTATGGGGCATACTTTATTGTTTGTTGCATATTTTGCAATTTTTTTGTTGAAAACCAAACATTTTAAATAATGTAACAACTCTGAAAATCAGATTCTCTTCCGTCACCAAGGTGCATTGTTATTGCTATCTGTTGTTATTTGCTTCTTCAGTAACTGTTATGATGTATTTCTATAAAGGATGTATTCTTTGCCATGTATCCTGTGTGGCTACTGAAGTCTCTGACCAATTAGTTTGGGAGTCAGCTAATATTAGATAAAATTTCCTTCAGTGCCTGGAATCAGTAAGTTCCTCAATGTTTGTGAAGAATCTCTGTGCACATGTTGGAACACACCTTCAACACACAGCCAAGTGGAAGTCCACAGCTCTGCCTTAGCTTTTACCTCCTCTTTCTACAAAGCTTGATGGTTAGCTAGAGATGAGAGCTTAGGATAGTCTCCGTTGTTGTTGTTGTTGTTGTTGTTGTTGTTGTTGTTGTTGTTGTTTTCACGTGCATAGCCCTGGGAATACACACAGACCTATACAGGTAGATACCCTTCTAGATTCCCATGAATATGTCAAACCCGTATGGGCATCTCATTCCCTTGCTTAGCCCTGGGAATACACACAGACCTATACAGGTAGATACCCTTCTAGATTCCCATGAATATGTCAAACCCGTATGGGCATCTCATTCCCTTGCTTCTTCTTGCAAGCTGTTTGGTTAAGCCTATTGTTTGCTCCAATCATTAGTCACTGCCTCGGGTAGCTGTCATGTTAAGCAATTGCCTCTGATTGTTTTGGCAAACACCCCCAGAGAAAAGACTGCAGCGGGTGACCTCCAAGGCAGGTCAAATAAGCCTTGCAAATAGCCTTGCACATGACCTAGAAATAATCTTTACTGCAAGAAAGGACCATAGCATAGATCCTGAAGATAGGGTTAGAATTCACATAAGCTAACTCACATTCAAAATGTGAATGAACACCTTAATTAAGTTGTCAAATATTGGGCTAATTTTTTTGTGTGCCATTTCCAGATCTGCAGCGAATAATAGTATTTAACAGTAAATAAACCAACTTTGATTAACTCTTTGACAAAATAAGAGGATTCCCCATCATATTCCCGTTTGGTAATGCATCATCTTTGGAGGGAGGCCTTGTTTCAACACTCTATTAATGTAATCTTCTTCTCTGGATTTTCTTCATAGGCAGAGTTCTTGTTTCTCTTGTCCACTGCTATATCTCCAGAAATTAGCATTATGCCTGGTACACAATGATATTTAACAAATACTTTTGGTATGATAAATGACCCACGATTACTACGAAACACTTATTTCAATTCCATATTCTATTGAGGAAATGAAAGCGAGGCCACTTGTTTCCATGCCACTAAGCAGCAGGACCTTAAATTGTAAAAAAGAGAAGGGGAAGGGCAAAGCTAAGTCCTACAATGAGATACAAAAGTGACAACAGCCCTTAAGCAAGATATTGATCATTATTCAAGATTAAATTTAGTCTGAATTGATCATAGTAAGTCATACTTAAGTGAAAGCATATCGATCTTTTAAACTTGATAATACAGACAATACTGTTTTTCAATCATGTCTGGTTAAATCTTCCTTTTGCCTAGACTGTTCAAGCCATTGTTGTAGCCATCTCTGGTCTACATTTTTAATTAAAAACAAAACAACACAAAACAAAAAAACCTAGACCTATTCAATTCCATTTAATACAAATTGTAAATTTTAAATACAGTATTAAGATTTGTAGGCAACATAGTATAGCATAACTATCAATATTAAAATCACCAAACAGTCCAGATTCTTTCACACATTTTCTCACTTAATTTTAACCCTTCTTTGGTGTAAGACTATTTCAATTTAATAAATAAGAAAAGTGAAGTTCAAAGAAGTTAAGTGACTTGGCCAAAGTCATATAACGAACTGATAAATGGCACAGCCTGAGCAGGTTTCCTGACTTAACTAGTGATCTTTCCATTATACTACAGCTCTCGTACAGCTATGCCAAAGTGCTCTCCGAATAGTAACAGGCCATGCTATTAAAAAAAAAAAAGAAAAGAAAAGAAAAATAAAAGAAAACCAACACCAACAATTAGTCTCTTTATAAATATACCACTTTGGTCCTCTCTCCAAAATATGAAGCCAAATAGACATATTTACATTTAAGAATGACTACTTTGACCAAATCAGACTAAAATTAATCTTGAGTGATAGTCCATGTATTTAGAAATGTTTCAGAAGTTTTAAGATACAAAGGGGGGCATCTGCCCATTTAAAGACATGAAGATTAAATTTTTAAACATTTAGTTTCTTTACAAAGAGGTATTACTACATTATCTTCCTCTTCCTCTCTCACACCCTTCTGCAACAGACACCCATTTACCATTACTCTTACCCACTGCGGGGGACAAGTCTCAGTGCATATAAGTAGGTTATGCAAAAATAACACGATTTCCAATCTGAAGTAAAGAAATACGTGAGATGGACAGGAAAACATCAAAACCTCTTCTTTCATGCAGAGCACACAGGACAAACGTAGCTTGCACACTCTATCTTGTTCTTTGATCGCTAACTGCACTAAAGAGGAAGTCCACAGACCGAATTGTAACTGCTAATGGTAAAAGAGCGTTTTACAAGAAAAAGGAAAGAAAAGGAAACTTCCTTTTTGTATTCAGCAATTTTTAACAGTGGAAGAAAGTTTGCAGAAGTGTTGAATCTAGACGCGTTTGAGTGAAGACTGATTCAGGACCGAATCAGTGCGAAGACTTCTGAACACCTTAAGTTGACCCACATTATCCCTTTTCCTAGACTCTGATTTCCTATCCTTGCTGCTCCTTCTCAGCTAGATCATCCCAGCCTTACTTGTTCTAATTCCAGACCTGGGTTCTCTGCCTTCTCCTTCACTCTTCACCTCCTAGACTGACTCCACTCCTTCCCTAAGGTAGAAGAAAAAAAAAAGAAAAAAGAAAGAAAGAAAATACTTTCCCAAGCCCACTCTCCTGTAGATTGCCCAGCCCTCCACTCTAACAAACTCAAGTTGAAGCTCTTGTCACAGACTGATCTCCCTTCTTGGCATGGAATGTCTCCTCTGCCACTGGCTCAGCTTTCTCCTGTTTAGGACCTGCCTCTCAGACCCGCATGTTCTTTGCATTTTCTCCTCTCACACACCCTCGGACCATCCTCCAAGTGCCCTCAATTCTCATACGCACATCTCTGCCCCTTCCAGACTTAGGGTCTCTTCAAAAGCCTTCACCTTGCAGATCCACATCTCTTTATTCCGCAGGGCCTTTGCTTCTCAGACTTGCGCCCCCCACCCCTGATACCTCCCCACCATATCCACACTCCCCTCAGACAACAGCTCCCCGCCGATCCAGGCCCCTCCCTCGGATCTGCCTCCTCTCTCAGACCCACATCCTTCACCTCTCTCACCTGGCTCCGCCTCCCCTCTCAGATCCGCACCCCTCCCCTGGATCTGCCTCCTCTTTCAGACCCACATCCCTCTCCAGATCTGCCTCCTCTTTCGGTCCCACATCTCTCACCTGCGTCTGCCTCCACCGTCAGACCCACACCCCTCCTTTGGCCCACGCTCTCACCTGGAGACACCTCGCGGCTCCCATCCGCGTCTGCTGCACGAAAGGGTTGGGCACAGGCGGCGGGAAGAAGGACGCCTGGCGGGGCACCATAGGCGGCCGCAGCCCGGCTTTCCCCATGCCCGCGCCCGGCACGGTGGCTGCCACCGCCGCTGCCTCCGCACACTGGCTCATGGCCCAGCCGGGCCGTCGGACCGGACCCAGCGACGGATGCGAAACACGGGAGTAAGCGCCCCGGGAGACCCAGGGGAAGCTTCTCCGGAGTCCCAGCCCGCGGCGCTACTGCGGGCGCTCCGCGCAAGCGCGAGTCAACTAGACACAGTCCGGTCTCGCCCCACCCTTCTGACTCCGTATGCTCCGGCCCTGGCTCCACCCTCTGAGCGCTAGCCACACCCCTTAAGGTATGGGCTCTTCCTCTTTGGTCATATAGCTCCGCCCCCTGGAGGTGACTTTCTCCCTCAGAGCAGGGCACCCCCAATGACAGTTTAGGCAGAGTTCTCTGCTTGAGGGTCATGCCCACCTGGAGTACCAATCTCTTTTCCGGGCTCTGTGGCTGACCTTGGCTAAACCGATGTCTCCATGAGCCTCAGTTGGCCCCTTCTGTAAAATGGGGATATACGGAACTCAGATTTACAGTTGAAAGAGCCTTGACAACGGAGAGATTGGTACTTGGGGTGGAATCTTCCCCTCAAAACATGGACTGACCCTGGGAGATGGCTGTCCAAAGAAAAACTGAGCTTTCCCAATGCTGTTACTAGAAAAAGGCAGAAACAACTATTGCCTTCCACATTTGATGAGGAACCCGGCCCTGAAAAGGGAAATGATTTGGGCTGTGACCCCATTTCACCCTGAGGAAGTTCAGGGGCCTATCTGGACATAGATGGATGGGGGGGGGGCGCTGGGTAAGATAAGCCCGAGGTCAGCAGGTCAAGCCCTGAGTGCTGAGAAGCAGAGGCTGAAGATGGGGAATGATTTACAGTTACGGGTCAACTGCTCACATCAGGCTGGAGGGCATGGTGAGAATCTGAATCTGGGCCCTGGCTCAGCGATGCTTCATACTCAGCTACTGCAGAATCTCAAAATCTTCCAACCCCACCAGAGAAATGTGTGGCTTGCAGCTCCTTGATTAACCTCTCCGAGCCTGTACTCTCATCAAAGCATGGGGAAAGATTAATGTCTACGCCACAGGGTTGCAGAAACAATTTTTTAATTGTTAATAATAGTGTATTAATAGATTAATAATAGCGTATTACAGTCACAATATAAGCCTTGGGAGTCTTCAAGTAGGGGCTGGCAGTCCCATGTGGCTCTTTAGCCAGAAACTTGCACCGAAGACTATTTCTTTTCTTTTCTTTTCTTTTCTTTTCTTTTTTTTTAAGATTTTATTTATTTATTTGTCAGAGAGAGAGAGTGAGAGTGAGCACAGGCAGACAGAGTGGTAGAGGGAAAAGCAGGATCCCTGCGGAGCAAGGAGCCCGACGCGGGACTCGATCCCAGGACACTGGGATCACGACCTGAGCTGAAGGCAGCCGCTTAACCAACTGAGCCACCCAGGCATCCCCGAAGATTATTTCTTTAGGACCCTCAATGACCTGAGCCATGAGGCAAGCCACAGGGAGGAGAAAAGACAACTCTCGGCCCACTAAGTTCACCCGCAGAGAGTCGTGTCTACTCCTCATCCCCTTCCCCACCAGCCCCACCATGAGAGGCCTGAAGCATAAGTCTAATTAAAGCCAGAAGGGGGCTCTGAAATAATCCCGGGCCTTCAACTTGTTATCCCAGCAGCTCCAGGATTTCCAGAGAAGGGGATCATAGCTTCCCCCTCTTTAGGTTGTTGTAAAGGTTAAACCAAGTGAGGCACGTCAAGGGCCTGGCACAGAGTAAGCGTTCTATTGATGTAGGGGATGTTACCATTGTTCATTGTTAGTAGTAGCAGTGTTAGAACTGGTGTTCTTGTCAGCAAAGAAACAGAGACTCAAAAAGGCAGGGAGCCTTGAATGAGACCCTGCCAGCAAAGTGACAGAACCCCTATGTCAAGGCTCTTTCCACGGGACAGAGGGACTCCAGCTCCCCCACTCGGAGGGCCTCTTGCTATTAATTTTGGCAGCTCTGACCTTTGCAGCAAAGATCACCTGAGCTCCAGAGGGAGCAGAGATGTAAACTTTTTACATTGTTATCCTCCATCCTCTCTGGACTCCGCAAAAAACAAAACAAAACAAAACAGTCCACAAACACTGCCACGCAGTTGGTGTCTTTATTCGTAGTCGTTGACATTTCCCATGGGGAACTGTTGAAGGGAAGCGGGGGACGGGACTGAGCGGGGTTTCCTCCAGCCAGTGGAGGAAGTGATGGGTTAGGGACGTACTAAATAGAGCAAATGAGAGAACCATCCCGACAGTGGGCTGAGATGCCTCGTGGAGTGACTTCAGACAACCTGAGTCCTTCTGTCAAGAAATTCAACGTCAAAGTGGAAAAATAAAAACTGAAAGAAAAGAACAAAGTGCGTACAAAGCGATCTGCTAAGATAGGAGAGTTTCCTAAGGCAGCCAGCAGTGAGAAGTCAGGTGTGTGGGGCGGCCGCGGGACCACGTCCCCATCCCACTGCCCCACTGCCAGGCCGGGCTGTCGGGCCACCAGTGCCCTCTTGAGACAGTCTCTGTCTGTTGGCTCTGAGGGTGCTGTCAGCCATAGAAAGTCGTGGCCGGGGGGAGAGCCTGAAGTGTGGGAGCACCAGGGCAGCCCAGGTCAGGGCTGCATTGAGAACATCAAAGTATCTCTTTGGGGGGTGGCTTTAGAGGGCTGGTGGGATACGGAGTGGGGAGGTGAAGGCAGCTGGGAGGGGGACAATCAGCACCGTTCCTTGGGCACAGGGCAGAGTCACTCTCCAGAACCTTAAATTACCAGGGAGGGGTGAGCACGCTGGTTAAGTACAGAGCTGAAGGCTGCCAGGCCATCCGGGTCCTTCCCTGGCTTCAGGGCTCGGTAGGCAGAAGATGTCGGAGGGGCAGGTCCTGGGGGAGACACAGCCTGCTCAGCAGCCCAGCCAGTCAGATTTGATGCTTCCGAATTTCACACTCTTCAGACTTTGGTTCTCCAACTTCAGGTAATAGGCACCCTTGAAGAAGTAGCTGTGACCTGGGAGGAGAAAGAGGGGAGGCTGTCACCACCGTGTCCTGAGACATGGAAGGTTCCCGGGAGCTTTGAGAGTCACCTGCCATAGGGAACAAGCTTTTCAACCAGAGAAGATCCCTTGGAGAGCGGTAGAAGGGGAATGGCTGTGGGAGTAAGTGCTCGGAATCCCTGTTTCTTCATCTTGAAGATGGGACTAAAGATACCAACCTCTTCGAGCTTGTGGCAAGGATTAAATGAGATAATATGTGTTATTATATTATAAATATAATAACAACACTCCACCAAGCACGGGCACAGATGAAGCACTTCCCAGAGACCAGCTGTGGAACACCAGGAGGCTTCTAGCTCTGTCCGGCCTACAGATGGGTTGTATTTGGCTCACACCAAAAGGTTTTTGTTTTGTTTTGTTCTGAATTCTGAGTAAGATGCCAACCCGTAAACATCTGGAAATTCCACACGAAAATATACATTTCTCACCTCCTTTTAAAACAGCTAGAATATCTTAACGGCACGCCCCTCCCCCCTTTCCTACAGCAACCAGGAGAAGCAGGTGATTGTGAATAACTCATGTGCCTTCTGGTTTGCCGCAGACCCGTCTGCCCGCCTGCCTTGCTCATTGGCGCTATTGGCCTGGCCCCCACGGACTTGAAAATGTGGGACCCCTGACATACATGACCCCATTTACTTCCTTGAAAATCCCTGCACCTAGTGGGTGCTCCCTAGATGTTTATTCTTGAAGATAATCCTCAACCTAGCCCCCTCTAGATAATACACAGGTCTTTCTCGGACGTGTGAGACCTTTCACCACCGGAAGTTAGGGCCATGGGCTTCGCGTAGCAGAGGGGCTCGGAAGAAATCCTTGAGGAATTTAAATGCAACCTCTTCTAAAAAGGCCAAACTGGGACCCCTTTCCAGGCCCCTGCAGACCTCACAGAAGCCTCCCCAGGAAGATGTTTTGCAAACTCCAAATGCTATCCCTTGCCGATACTAGTTGTGTTTTACTCAGTGTGGGACCAGGGGCGCATGGAGGTGAGTGGGAGATCTTTGCCACATCAGCAGCAGGGCACGACAAAGTCTGTCCTGTCTCAAATGGAGCCATCGTTCTGCTAATGAGAAGCAGTCACAAGGCCTCCTATGGAACCTGAAAGGCCTGGACCAAACCCCAGAATGAATCCAGGGCACAGAGCCCATGTTTCCTGTTCCAGCAGGCCTCCTGCCTTTCCCTTTCCTGGCTCCAGGCCCTGCAGCTGTGATGGGCCTTTCTGGGTCTTACTGCCTGGAGCCGGCTGAGTGAGCGGAGGTCAGGGGTCTGGATGCCTTCCCAGCACGGGGCTGAAGAGGCTGGTTTGTTTCCCCCCACCAAGCGCCGCCTGCCTCCCTACACAATGAGGGAGTGTGTGCTTGGGAGGAGCTGGGCCCTGGCTGGGGGCAGGGAGGCACGTCCTAGAAAGCGGACAGGGGCTCGGGCAGCTCACCACCGCCCTGCAGGTCCACCACGGCGTCCAGGTTATCCGGGATGGCGTTCCAGGCATCGGCGATGAGCTTGGGGAAGCCGGGATCCATTTTCTTCTTGACTTCATTGTATCTGCAAGGAAACGGATATGAGGAACCCATGGGACCTCCCTAAAGGCCAGCCCTTCTCCAAACCTGGCTGGGAGGGCCCAGCAGCCAGTTCCTGGCTGAGCCTGGGAAATCAGACCTAGCCCTGCAGGGAGGCAGCCGGCTGGAGTGGAAGGCCAGAGAGTCAGACTGGGGTCTGGATCCCGACTCCACTATTCACTAATTACATGACCTTCAACAGTCCCATAAAAGCAGTCTTGTGATTATTGCTAATGTGTAAAGCAATGTGCTAACCGCTTTCCATATACTTTCTCAGTCAATCCTTGTGACAATCCCAGGACACAGTTATTACCATAATATCCATTTCACAGACCAGAGACTTTGAAAGGGCATCCAACTTCCAAGAGGTAATCCAACCAGGTCTGTCTGACTCCAGGGCTGTGAGTTGCTCTCTGAACCTCTACTTTACCAACTGTAAAATGGGGCTGT